ATTACTTAGCACACTAAACTATGAGCCCAGATGACACATACGATTAATTATATGTTATTCCACTCCAATTTTTTAAAAAAGGAAAAGATTCTGTGTGATTTCACACTGTACTAAATTTTCTAAAAGGCAGAAGAAAAGGCAATCATTTAGTTGTAACAATATCATAATCCTTCTACCCATGAACCACAATAAAAGAATATTCCACAGAACCATCTCATTCAAAAGGCAATTTTCCTTTATGGTGATAGAAAAGGTATTTGTTTAGTTCTGAGCATTGTAACTGATCCCAATGTTCTGCAAGGAGGAGAAAAAAAATATTTTTTTCTGTTGCCTCAGAGTGGTAAGTAACCATCTAAACATAATGCATGTGTATTGGAAAGAAAGAGGAAACAATGAACTGCCATCATATTTGCTTTCAGCAAGGCCATCAAGCCTGCATGTGGGCCTAGCTCTGTATAACGCATCAGGCATCTTTACTTAGCAGAAAGCACTGTACCATAGTGTGCAAATCCTAATCCAGGGCTGATTTTTCTTGCCCTTTATATCTGCTCCTCTGTCTTGACACCCAGACAGGGGGGAAGAGGCTAGTAGATACTAAGAAAGTCAAAATGTTGCAAAAGAAATAGTGAGTCCTTTCCTTCCTGAATTAGGGAGTTTGAGCCAACCCTATAGTATTTATTCTCTGAATTTACAAATTTGTTCATAAGATCATAGTTAAGACATCTCAGGCTTAGAAGTCCAGTCCTAATTTGGTTGAATGAAGAATATTATTAGAGGCACCAGTCTGCCCCTGGAGCCAGTCTATGGAAAAGCAGGTGGGATTGGAAAAAGGGAGAAATGCCAGAGAGAAGAAAGCTGGAGACGGGACTTGCTTTCATCCCAAATGGGATCTTCCCTTCAGAACAGTAACCCAGTGGTCCAGGCCTAGCATGTCGTCAAATTCAAAGTATAGGCATCAAGATTAATTAAAAAGCACTCAAAGTATATAAATTTCTCTCTCATACCTGCTTTTCTTCTACTCTTATCTTGCATTCCTCATCTGGCAGTGGGTACGCCTGCTTTGAACCTCAGCTCAAGCGTCTGTAGCTCCAGGAAGTTTGGCCTGCTTCCTCCACTCTCCCCAACCTTGGGCAGGAGCCCCTTCATGGCTCCTGTAACACCTCCTGCCCACTTCTTGTTAGAGAGGGAGGAGATATCTCTGCCCCCGAAATGGGAAATAACAGCTGTGAAGGGCCCCTTCCTCTATTCTCATCCCTATGCCCCTTTGCTTCGTGGAATCTGATGGATTCATTAACCACAGTGCACTGTGGGCAAGGACATTGTGTCTGAAGTAACTTGCATTTAGCGATGTCCCTCCTTCCATCTACTGCTAGATGTGGCAGGCTGGCTCTTCTTGGCTATGCACCTGTTGGGCTAAGTGGCTCTGAGTGTCTGCCCCACAGACCTCACTATTCCTGTCATGCTGCACCAGGATGCTGAGATGCTGACGGGGCACAGGGCAACTTTAGAAGCTCAGGCCTTAGCCAGATGCCCTGATTCAGCTTAGGGCAACCCTGCATTTGGCCTTATTGGATACTTGCCCATCTGACACTTTGTTACCATTTTGGCAGTTGATTCTTATTGTCAGGAAAATGCAAAGGGAAGCATGATAAGTGGGTAGGTTCTAGCACCTAACTATATCCCAAACCTCTAACAATCCTATCTTTGCACCTCCAATAATACACTGTAAATATTTGCCTCCCTCATTAGATGGTAAATTCCTCAAAAAACTATTATTGATCTTTTTATCCCCAGTGCTTAGTACAACGTCCGATACATAGTAGGTACTCAAAAACTGTTGAGTGGATGAATGAACGTATGAATGAGTTTGGCCATTCTTGGACCTACTTCATTGACCCAACTCCTGGCCACTCTGCCTCTGTTCCTATCAGGTAGTCCCCTGACCATTCCCTACACAAACTCAGGCTGACCCACCTGTGTTCACCCAGCTCAACATCCTCATTCTCTTTTAAGCTTTTTCCAGCTAATTCTGTCCACACTCATTTCCTTTTCTAAATGCCTTTTGCACAATTTAGTACTTTGCTATTCTCAATTTGTTTTAAGTATGCTAGAGTTATGTTCTTAACTAGTCTGTGTCAACTGCTGTCGACTGACTTCTTCCATGAAACATCATCAGGAGGACAAAACTGGCAAATAGAGGAACTGCTATCTAGTCTCCCTACCTTGAATTAGGTGGGGAAAGTCAGTTACTTTCCCTAGGCCTCAGTTTCCTCTTCTATGAAAATGGAGGAATCATCTGAGTACGTCATGGCATTGTAAAGGACAAAATAAAAAATACAATGGCATCTGTAAAAATCTTATGCATAATTTATACCTCTTAGAATGTAGAACCAAGTTTGGATCAGCAGAGACCTTAATAAATGCTTGGAGATTTACTAGATAATGATGATGTTGCTTACAGGCATCTCATTTTAATGAAGATTCAGTTGTTCTTAGTAACTCTAGTAAGGATTATTATTACTTGGAATGACAGATGGGTGATCTGGTACATTTACTCTTATTCCAAGGAGGGTCAGGTGGCTGAAAATGTTTGAAAAATATTACTAGAGAATCTCCTGGAATGTAGTTTTGCGATTTATAAATGTTTACCGTTATTGTATTTCTTAAAGTGAATTCTTGTTTATTAGGGATATCTTAGTCTATTTGGGCTGCTATAGCAAATTACCATAGATGAGTGGCTTAAAAACAACAGAAATTTATTGCTCAGAGTTCTGGAGGCTGGGAAGTCCAAGATCAAGGCACCAGTAGATCTGGTGTCTGCTGAGGGCCTACCTCCTGGTTCATAGACAACCATATCTTCACTGTGTCCTCACATGATGGAAGGGATAATGGAGCTCTCTGGAGTCCCTTTTAAAAGGACACTAATCCCATTCAATGAGAGCTTCACTCTCGTGACCTAATCAACCCCCCTAAAGACCCTACCTCCAAATGCCATCACTTTGGGGATTAGGATTTCAACATATAAATCTGAAAGGATACAAACATTCAGTCTCCAGCAAGGGAGTTATAATCCAACACGAGAATTATCAAAAACTTCATCCTTATCCATTCCCCTACTATTACTTACTTGTAACACTATCTTAACTTGAATTCTGATCTCAGTATAAACTTATGTGGAAAGTCGGGTAGGATTTATGATCCCATCTCATGAGTGAGAATTCAGAAATTTAGTAAATTTGAAGGTCCGATGGTCTGGAAGCCGCTGAGTCAGGACCACAGGGCTCACGTGGTGTGAAGCTTCAGTCCTCTTTCTAGTAAGATGAGGTGAAGACGTGAGATACCAAGGCCTGATTTATAGGTAAAATATAGACTAATATTTAGCCTTTGGGGCACTTACATTTGGTAGGATAAGAGATTTAAACTTTTGTTTTAAAATGAAATTCCCAGGTCATTTTTCAAGGGTTTATATACCTCCTTCCTATTTGCTCTGCTCCATGAAACCGAGAGTTCTGTAATTGGTGATGAATATTCAGATTACCTGTGCTGCCAAATGAATCTTTCAGTCAACTTGTTTCGCATCATATTAATTTCAGTAAAGAAAATCTCCAAATATACTAGGTTAGTAAAGAACTTTTGATGTTATGTGATAAGAAATTGTGACTTAATCAACATTTTAAGATTAAAAAAACACTTTACATATTGGTGCAGTAGTCCCCTACCTCCCCCCACCCCCGCCTGCCTTTATCCAGGTGGAGGGGAAGGGAGGATACATTCCAGGACCCCCAGTGGATGCCTGAAACCGTGGAGAGTACTAAACCCTACAGAGACCGTTTTTTCCTATACATACATAAGTATAATAAAGTTTCATTTATAAGGTAGGCACAGTAAGAAATTAATAAAAATGACTAATAATGAAATAGAACAATGCTAATATACCGTAATAAAAGTTATGTGAACGTGACCTCTCTCTCTCTAAATATTTTACTATGCTGTACTCACCCTTATTCTTCTTGTGAGATGGGAGATGATAAAACGTCTACGGGATGAGATGAAGTGAGGGAAATGACGTGGGTGCTGTGACGTAAAGTTAGGCTACTAGTGACCTTCTGATGATTCGTCAGAAGGAGGAGCATCTCCTTCCAGACAGCAATTGGCCGCAGGTAATCGAAACTGCGGAAGGCGAAACTGCAGATAAGGATATTTAGTTCAAAGCCCAAAGAAACAAAAATAAGGACAAATTTAAAAAAATCGCAGAGCGCTTTCATTGAAGGGAATTATGTTTTGTAGTGTCACTGACTTCAGTGGCTGAAGAAACAGAATTCATTATATACAGAGAATATTTTATATACTCTAAGATTCCATAAGACGGGATGTATATGGGAGTTGTGTAATCAATTTTAAAACAGCACATAAAAATATTTTTTACAGGGAGGTTCAAAGTACAAATATAGGAGGAGACCCATTTTCTTTGCTTTAGAAATTACATATAAGAATCTAATAACATAAATTTAAAACTAAGCCCATGCATAGGTACATGAAGGAGGGGGAAAGTTTAACATACCCCATGTTGTGTGAAAAGGTAGTCATTCTTACTCAGTGTATTTCTGTTTAGGACTCAAATTCTAAGTGTAGTGGCCCCCCAAAATGTATGGATCTAAGCTGTCTGATATGATAGCTGCTAGAAACATGTGACTATTGAAATTAAAACCCAGTAAAATTTAAAACTCAGCTCCTCATTTGCACTTGCTACATGCACATGCTCAAAGCCACACATGGCTAGTGGCTACTATATTAGAGGAAAGGACATCTTGCAGAAAGTTCTATTAGACAGCAGTCCTTTCTGCTAGTAGTATAGGTTAACAAGGTTAACAGGGATTTCATGTGCATGTGGGGGAAAGTTCAGCCAATTATTCCAAATTAGCATGCACTTGCTCCAAGTTTCTAAATACTTCTATTGTTACACACACACACACACACACACACACAGAGCTGAATCTTGATCATCATAAATCATCATATCTTTATATTTTCCATAGTCACTGTTTTAATATTGGTGAAGCAAACTTTGAACCTACTACTCGAGGGAGATTGTGATGTAATGAATACCTTAAAATAATTCTCACTATTGCATCCACAGACTTTTTCATTGAGGAACATAACATTTTTGAATGCTTGGTACTTTATTTAAACACACATATATACAAGGATGACAAAGGGAAACTCTGCAGAGTTGAACACAGTGGCTGCATGCATTGAGAGGATCGGCAGACTCTAGTTTTACAGGATGAAATTCGAGTTGAAAATAGGTAAAGACTGGAGAGCGAGTTTCATTTCCCATCACCACATAGAAGGGTCTTCCAGCCTGTCAAACACAAGAAGGAAAGCATGTGAGAGAAGCTTCCCAACTTCCTGGGAGGCTTTCAAAAGTGAGACATTCAGCTCTGAACCGAAAGATGATCAGGAACTATTGAAAAGGCCCCTGTTGGCACTCTAAACAGGAGGTCATGTAGAATATCAGAGCAGAAGACAGTGGCGTAATATGCAGAAACCCAGCTGAGTAGCTTTCACTCATGTTCACGGGAGTCTCAGGCAAATCTCGGAGTACTGAAAAGGCTCTGTATTTATCAAAGGAACCGAGGAACTCTGCAATATTTCTAAAGATCAAAACTACAGGAATCACACAAAATGGTAACAAGAAAGTTATTGTTACACAACTCTGAATATGCTTCTTTTGTTTTCCTGCAAGGCTTTTTATGTAGTAAGATGCTATTTTTATAAAAAACCCTTTTTAATAAAATAGCTTTCACAGGCAACTTCAAGGCTATCAACTTTGGCCTCCTCCTAACTGCACATGATTGAGACTGTCCATTAGGGTCCAATTAACTCTATTCCATGCACCAACTGTGAGACTTCAAGCCACAAAACAAACAGTAGCAGCAAGGTTGTTAAGTCTGGATGGTTCTTTTTCTTACCAAAAGTACATAAGATCTACCCTAAACTTTTTACCACAATAAGCATCACATGCATGTCAATGAAAGCTTAAGGGCATCTGTGTTTAGTATTAAAAATAACCTTTATGAATTTCCCACCTGCTTCCCTTGCATTTCCTTTTAAATCTGGGTTGATACCTCCAGATACAAGAGTACTGGAGCTTTATTCCAGTCCAAATTGTTTCCTTCAGAGAAAACAAACCTGACAACTCTAGACCTGTACCTTGGCCCTGGCTGGCCATTTCACAAGACAACAGAGGGATGGTGGGGGGGGGGAAAGTAAGTGGCTCAGCAGGTCACCCCTCTTGTTCTCTGGGGAGAACCCCAATGAAGAGTGACATGCCAGTCATGCTCACTGAGCAAGTGTTCTAGTGACCTCTTCTGGGGAACCTGGTTCTTGATATTGTCAAGCTCTGGGTTTAAGGCAGACAAGCTCCCACAGAAATGGATGAACTATGTGCCCCTTGATCTTGCTCAGGGCAGAGGCAGGAGGGATAGGACAGAAGAGCCAGGAAGTTATGAAAATGGAGGAGGGTCGGGCTGCTTTCCAGCAGCACTCATTGCTCATTGTCCACAGTGTTTCACACCAGCTGTTGGTAGGCACCTCTTCCCAAGACTAGGCCACACTCCCAGAAAGCCTCCAAGGTCACAGACAAGTCCCTAAGAATATTAGGTCCTTAACATTCATTCCATGAATGCAATAAATTATTATGGATATTGAGCTTAAAATATGTCAAAAAGTAAACAATAGCTGCCTCCCACGCCCCCCTCCCCCCTGCCCTGCCACCAAGATTTATCTACAGCTTCATGTAAAATGAGGAAGACTAGAGCAAGACCCATGAGTGACATATGCAGGACATCTAGACACTCCAAATACCATATGAAAACTAAAGATTATCCCAGCCAAAGATGGACTATTGGTCATTTCAATGTAGAGATGGGGACTTACTCTATGTTCTCTCAATTCTAACCCAGTTAGAAATTCTATATAGAGTCTTTTCTAAGGTAAAAGTCACTTATATTAAAAATTTTCAAAGAAGCACCAAATAATCTGGGGTAGAAAATGATACCCCACAGAAGTTTAGAGATTTGCAAATTATTACATGAAAACAAAGGTCCTCACTGCCCTGTGACCCATCTCCATTTCTGCCCAAATACTACCTGGTCTGGAAGACCCATTCCAATGTCCCCCCCGACCCCTACCCCAGGCAGCCCTCTGGGATTTCCCTCTCCTGTGCCATCTTGAGCTCTGCAACAATGTCCCCATACAAGTCTTTCATACCTAGTTCTGGGAACATTTTCTGTGCTTTCTCTCATCAAGAGGTCTGAAATCAGTGTCTCGGGGCTAGATCGTTTTCCATACCTAAAAAAAAAAAAGAAGAAGAAAAAGAAGTCCTTAAAGCAAATTTGAAATATTCATAAAAAGGAAAAATATTGTTTAAAAAAAGGAAGATAGTGTCCCACATGGTTGATCATCTGTTAACAAGTAATCTAGGTATATGAAACAGACATTATCAGAAATATGATTTTGAATTATATATAATTTTGCTTAAATAATAATTTACTAGAATATTTGAACCAATCAAAATTCCTAGTCAAATTCTTGCCTTTTTATACTACCACAAACAATACATAGATAGACTTTTATAACTAAGTGACAGGAAATAAAAATATATTACAGTATGATTTTAAATGTTTCCATAATTAGTAAATTGGCTATAGTCCTGATGATATACAGCAGTTTAAACCTTAACAAAGAGACCAGATGATATTTCAGAAACAGCCCTGGGAAAAAAATCAGCAGACAGAAGTTCTAGACCCACCTGTGTCTTCAAATCTCAGTTTTCTCATTTGTAAAAATAAAATCATAACTCATGCTTAAATTGGAGTCTTTGTGGAAATCCAATGCGAGCCATAATGTTTTGAAAGTGACAGAGTAAAACACAAATGAAGATATTGCTGTTGAAATGCACTCATTCTTACAGAAAACAACAAACCTTGGTCCTGTATTTCCCATATTTGTTTGGGGTACCAAAAGCTAAAAACCTTCTCTCATGCTGTGATTTTAATCTGTCCCGTAAATATAAAGGAATCTCACAGATCGTGGAAAGACCATGAAATCTTACTGGTCTTTTTTCTCCTAGAGCAGCATATGGATATAGGACTATATGTGAATGCAAGGGTGGTGTATGCTAATTTCTCCAGGTGAGTGAGTACATAGGTCTTTGCCTATCTGTCTGTCTCTCACTGCTAAAGGATCTGACAAGTCTATACCAAGATATATTTTTCCCTTTCTCAGAAAAGGCCTTGTATACCAGAAGCCATATTGTTCACAAATGAAAAACTAGCCTGGATGGACTGATTAGCTACCAGTAAAACAGCAAAACAAAGCCATCAGAGGGTATATCTATCAAGTACAATTAAATCTAAATTTTTTGGGAAGAGTTCCTATTATTGCTCCTTTGCTGGGACTCAAGGAAGTAAAAACCAACAAACTGCTCCCCCCACCCCCATCACTTGTAAGATTTCCTCAACATTTTCTGGAGTTGTGATATCAAACTATAGACTGCTGCTTATACCTATTTATTCTGTTCATCAATTTTATTAATCTTAAAACTCTTGAGCAACTTCAATTCATTTATCTTCACCATGCTCCAGTGAATAGAACTGGCTAATATTTTCTCCAATTTACTAATAAAGAACCTAAATCTAGAATAGCAGGATTTGCAGTCCTAAAGTGGCACACAGGACAGCAACGTTCATTTTTCTTCCTTCTCTACTTAATTCTGGATTATCCTTCTTCTCTACCATGCTTTAACTGGCAAAGATGAAGTCTCTAGGGAAAAAATTCTCAAACCTGGCTTCAATTAGTATCAGCTGGCAAGCTTTTAAAACCTCTGTAAAGCCCAGGTCCCACCCCCGAGGCTCTGATTTAACTGGTCAGGGGTGAAGCCCAGCACTAGTATATTTTAAAAGCTCCCCAGGTGATTCCTATGTGTGACCAGGATGGAGAAAGACTAATCTAGGGCTGGGTTTCTCAATCTTGGCACTATATATGACATTTGGGGCTGGAAAATTCTTTGTTGTAGGGGGCTGTCCTAGGCATCATAGGATGTTTAGAGTATAAAGTCAGTACCAGTTGAGAACCACTGACTTAGGGAACTGTAAAAGCCACACGTGGTAGATTCATGCTCTAGAATAAACGATGCAGCTTTCAGAAGCAATGGACCGGGAGCATATAGCTTAAAAACTGCGTAGAAAAAGGGAATAAAGAGAATGTTTTCAGACTACCATTTGTGCCAAATAAAAACATGTTCACAAATGACACCGTAATTTTCAAAAATACAACCAGGTGGGGATTGGGTGTGTGAGATGGGAAGGCAATGAGAGTACGGAATGGAGACAATGGGTGCAGATGACAAACCTCTCATGGTTTCTAAGAAGGAATTTATGTGAAGATGAGACAGAAAACTCTGGTTCAGAATCAATGCATTCCCACCTAACCTGAATCTCTTCCCATGAAACTCAAGTCCCTTCCCTTTATTTTTTCCTCATCAAAGATGGAGATCACACTGGATGCTGACGGTAGTGACAATGTCCGAGGGAAATCAGTGGGAGTGCTCGTTTCATCACCCCTAAAAAGAAAAACCTTCCTAAAATGTTCTTAGATTCATGAACTGTAAAATGGAGATAATTATATTCACTTCAAAGCTTTGAGGTGAAGACAGAATGAAATAATGCCTAGGGAAGCATTTTGAAATGCTAAAGCTTTTATACAATAGTAAAGCTTTATAGCAATCATCTTTGCAGAAATAAGTTCTACTGTGTTATAACTGACAAACTAAATAACCAACAAAGCTTTTCCTAGATAAACAACAAAATTAATATTTTTTATTTGAACAAGTTCTTTTCTCTGGTCTATACGATAGCATAAGCAAGTATTTGAAGCATTTAACTTTCTGAGAAGGCTACTAGGATATAAAACATTATTGCTTTTTGCTAATTAAAATGAACCGACTTCAAGGTTCACAAACCAATACTATTTAATTCCAGCATTTTATGTATTTGATTCTATGTAAACTGGGACTTTTTCAGAAGTTTTTTAGGATGTCATACCCCTTTTTGATGAAACAGGGAAAAATTTTATTTAAGAAATATAAATTCTCGCCACTTTGAATCCTTCCCAACTATTCCCTGACTTGTAAACAGTAAAAAGTATGGTAAAAACAAAAATAACACTTTACAAAATATAAGTTAGACATGTTAACATTAATGTTTTTAAAGGGCTCACCCTTTTTACCTTACCAAGGTCATTTGATACCAGTAATTAAAATAAGATATTGAATGACTTAGAACTAAGATGAACCAATTTTGGGAACAAATTTTAAATCCTATATTATAGTTAGAATGTGATTTTTTTTTTTTTGCTTAATATTTGATGTTGAGAGTGAAAACATGACATTTAATTTTAGCTTTCTGAGGATTCAGAATAAAGTTTACAATTTCTCAAATTCCATGTAATCCCTGGGTTTATCCCAGGGTGACTAGTTTCTCCTTAACAAAGCACTAAGTGGGCACTTCCTTCTCAAAATTCACCTGCTAGAAGATGGGAAGAGTCTGCATTTTAGATCAACGGTTCTCATGCTAAATCTCTATTAGCATCAAGATTTTTAAGTAAAGGGCTGAGACTGGAAAAAAAAAACCACTGTACAGAAGAAAAGAAACTAGCTCCATTTGTCTTATCCTAAATACTGTCATTCAATTTTGCTTTGGGCAGCTTGGAAAATCTGGCAGCGTCTTTGGCAACCCAGCTGTTTCCTGGTTGGTGGTGGTGGTTGTAGTTTCTCAACACTCAGCTCATTCTTCTCCCTACAGCACTTCCCCCAGCACTCCTGACCTGTTTTTGGGGGGGGGGTCCTTTCCCATCCAGGTTTCCAAACAGTCCCCCAACTGCTCTAAGAACAAAAAAGAGCAGGGAGTGAGCGGGAGAAGATGGACAGCCACACAGCCTAAGGAGCCTAAATCTGGGGGGGTCACGATTTTGTAACTATAGTTGCAGAGGGAAAGTGTTCAGTGCCCTACCCAATTATTCACTGAGAACTGAGTATGTGTCTGATACTGTGCTGCCCAGGAATACAAGCAAGAAAAAAAACTGGTCTCTGTCTTCTGAGATCCCCAGGATCTCCGGTTGTGGGACAGGGCTCTCCGGGAGTCGGTCCCGAGGAGCCCACCCACCTCTGCCTGGTGATGAGGTTGATGTAGTGCCGCAGCGCTGAATAGTATCTGGCCATGTCCTCCGCCGGCGCGTCCTCTCCAGGGTTGTCTGGCTTGGAGGGGTACGCCTCAGCCAGCGCGCCCAGGCACACAAGCAGGGACAGGGCGAGGGTCAGTCCGGAGAGCCCCAGTCGCTTGCTACCCAGCATCTGCGGGCACAGAAGGCGCAGCGGAGAAGAGTGGGGATGGAAAGGACACACGCCTCGAACCTCCCTCCCTTGTCTCCCTCCCCACTATCACTCGCGACCCCTTAATCCGCGCTCAACCCAGTCCCTTAGAGGAAACGGAGCAGCACTCCGCTTACTAACGGCAACACCTGCCCTGGCCGGATCCCTCTGTTCCACCCGAAAAGTCCGCGCAAATTCCGTCCAGGTCGCTGGACGCAAGAGTCGCACGCAACGAGAGGCGCGGGACTGGGGGCCAGCGCCAGCCGGCGCCAGTTTAGATACTTTAAAAACAGATGTAGAAGTTGCTCCCCGTAGGTTAAGGAATTGTCACCTTCCTACCCTTTTCCCCAAACCGCCGTCGGAGGGGAAAAGTTTCTTCTCTAATGCTTGTGGTCTGTCTTGCTGCAAGAGATAGACAGTTATGGCTGAGATTCCTTCGGGGTGACAATTTGGGAGAGAGAGGAGAGAACTGCTCTCCGGGCAGTAGTCTCAGTTTGGATCCCAAGGATCCGGGAAGGTGATCCCTCACTAAGCGGGAGCTGCCAGGGAAACCTCCATCCAGGCAGGGACCCCCCCGAGGAAACTGCCACCTGCCCGGGGTTGGGGTCGCGTCCCCCTCCAAGTCCTCCAAAAGATAACCCAGAGGGACCGCGCAGCCGGGAGGGTACGGGAGCAGGGCGGAGGTGCAGTCGGAAAGGACCAGAAGGAGCAAGTGGAATTTAGCCTCCAAGATCGGCCGCCGCGCGTCGGGGCAGGAGAGGACAGAGCGCGGCGCGCAGGGGTTGGGAAGCCGGGCGCGACCCTCCCGGGGCCCCAGAGCTCCCCCGAGGGTGAGCCGGCGCCGTCCCCCCGCTCCCGCCCCAAGCCGAGTGGGTCGTGGCACTCACGGTGGCAGGCGAGCGGGCGGGCGTGGCGGGGCGGCGAGCGCTCTGCAGTCAGGTGCGCCTCTCCGAGGGGTGAGTGTCGGCGGACCGGGTGCGGAGAGCAGGTCGCAACAGGGCTTTTATGGCGCTCCCCCGCCGCGGCAGGAGGGGCCTCGGGCAATCACGTTCGGGTGACTCCCATCCCGCCACTTCCCGCCCCCGATTGGCGGGGGCGGGGGGAGGGGGCTGAAGCCGCAGTCGCTCGAGCTGCGGCTCCTGTGGCCACCCGCACCCCAACTCCTGGACCCCAGGCCCTGCCGGGGGTGGGGGTTCCTGGAGAGATGCGAGCGTGGCCGAAGCCCGAGTCCCTGCCCTCACGCGGCGCCCAACCCGGCTTTCCTTCACACCCCGTCTAGTCCAGCTAGAGATACGAGCAGCACAGATCTACTGTGTCGCCTGTCACTGAGACCACCAACTCTATGGGCGGCAAGGTAGGGGATACATGAATCCTCTACTTGGTGGGGCATCTCCGGGACCCGCGCGGCAGAAGCGCGGGGCACAAATCCTGAGTAGAGACAACTTGGTGCACAGATCTTCCTGCGCGGAAAACTGGTCCAGGGCGCCTGTCCGAGGTCCCGAGTTTAGTGGCTCCCAAATGGCCCCCTCCTCCACTCAGAGTCTTAGAATGGGCTTCTGTGGCTTCGGTCCCTTTCCCCAGCTTCTTTTTCGAGTGGATCAGCCCACCCCAAGTACTCGCCCAAATGCTAGGAGCCCGGCTCCATCAGGACTGAAAGAGTGTGGCGATTGAAAAGTCCCCAGTAATGGGACACGGTAAACCCACTTTTTCTCTTTGCTGGGAAAGAGCGACGTTTCGACCATCTGGACACCCATTAAAGCGCAATCGAACGAAAAATTCTGACCCAAAGCTACCGGGTAAATGAACAGGAATTTCTCCTTTTTTAGCCCTTGGGTAGTTACAAATACTTTCATTAACGTTGATTGAGAATGGGGGTTCTCACTGAAATGAAACAGATTAAAAAAAAAAGATCACCATTAATTGGCACATCACGTTAAACTGTTGAATGAATATGAAAGATTCAGAAAACCATTTTTTACAGGATCAGGATTTTATATCTTAAACGTTACCTGAATGAATACTACTGGAAGTCCAACTCTCTAAATAAAATGGCATGTTAGGAAGTTAAAGTGTTAAGGTACAAGCTATTTTAATGTTAAAATCACAAGCGATTCTGTTAAACTTTCTGTGCTGTTTCCACCGCACTGAATTAAATATCAATTACTGCGTGGCTAGTTCTGCGCTCCGGTGTTCTCTCTCTCTCCCTGCCTGTGTGTCTGTGTGTATGTGTTAGAAATTTTGAAGGCCACATCCCTTTCACTTAGGTGAATGCTTCTCTTTCCATATTGCACAAACATATGACAGGGACACAAATATCAGGGCTCTCAGAGTTGCTCCAGGGTACTTATGTTTGGTAAAGTTAGAACAAAGCACCTTCTGACTTAGAGCTCTTTCTTGATAAGAGGAAAAGCTGCGTCCGGTTTTCAATAAATAATCTTATTTTTAGAATGTATCATAGATAGACATCAGTCATACCTTAGAAGGAGTCATTGAATTTGGGAGAAATCCCTTCTAAGGAGATGTACCATTCTTGAGTGAGGGGAACACTGGGGACATTTGATTAATTTAGCTTACAGTAATGCCACTGGTATCCCAAACTAAGAGCTGTTTCTCAGGGTTCAGCATTTAGAGGCTAAAACATGAAGCCTAGTGCCCGAGGTGTATCCTTATATCCTTATCCCTTCCCTCCAGTGCCAACAGCATCCTCTGGCCTTGGGCTCTGAGTATTCCATCTCTTCTCTCAGGACTTTGCTCCATTAATTGCCTCCTCTCTTTTCTACAGTTTTCTATGCTTATACATATATACTTATAGCTTATAAATTTGCCTGAGTTTGCTCCATGAAAGAAACAAATCAAAACCAAAATTCCTCAAAAGCAAAAAGACAGTCATTCAACCAAGCATCACCTAGAGGCTGAACCATTTCTCTCCTTTGTTTCAAAATCAAGTTTATTTACTTATATGTATATGTATCCTTAGCAGCTTTATTGAGATACAATTGAGTTATGCTAATCTGTGTTTAAAATATTCCATTGGTTGTATTCTTACATACATACTCTGTGACTTCATCACCACAGTCAAGGTAGTGAACTTCCACAACACCACCAAAAGTTTCCTCATATCCCTTTGGTGCCGACATTTGTGCCATTTCCTGTCTCTCACCCAGGTAATCATTTTTATTAATTTCTTGTGCATCTTTCCTGACTTTCTTTATGCAAATAAAAGCAAAAATGAACATATGTTCTTATATTTTTCCTTTTTTATCAACAAAAGGAGCATACACACTGTTCAGCACCTTAATTTTATTATTTAATACCATATCTTACACATATTCCCACTTAGACCTTAAAAGATTATTAACTCAATCTCAAGCCCCTCTCCTCTCCTTTGAGGATGGGGGAGTGGAGCTGAAAGTTCCAAGTTCCAAACATGCCCTGGCTTTCTGGTGACCAGCCGTCATCCTGAAACTATCTAGGGTCCCCAAGCCACCAGTCAGCAGGTCAGCAAACAAAAAGATTCTCACTTCAGACATTCCAAGGGTCTTAGGAACTCTTTTGTCAGGACCCATGGTTAAAGACCAAATATAAGAACAAAAGATGCTCCTAACACCCTTATCACTCAAAAAATTACAAGGGTTTTAGGAACTCTAGACCAGGACCTGGGAACAAAGACCAAATGTATTTATTATGCCACAGGTGGTCAGATCAGGTCTCATTGAAAAGGTGACACTGAGCAAAGACTTTGAAGAAAATGAGAGAATAAGTCAAGGCAAAACAAAACAAAACAAAACTGGGCCAGAGACATCAGAGGCCAAGGAAAACCTAATGTAAAGACCTTAGGGCAGGTATGTGCCTGGGAGGGAAAAAGGGATGAAGATAAGAATGATTCCAGATTTTTGGCCTGAGCAACTGAAAGGATGGGGTTTCCTCCAACTATAATGCAGATTGCTGCAGCCGGAGGTTTGGTGTTGGCAATGGGAGTTCTGCTGAAGATGCCTTAAAGATTTTGCTGTCTACTAGACCTCAAGGAGAGGTGTCAGTTTTATGTATGAATCTGGAGTTAAGGAGAGAGATCTAGCCTTGAATTATAAACTCAGGAGTTGTTTGACTTTAGGTGACATTTAATGCAGTGACAATAGATAAGATTATCAAGGGATCGAGTAAGGGAAGAAACAAGAGCCCCAATCCAGTCCTGCAGTGAGCCAGCACTGAGAAATGAGGAGATGAGAAGGAATGAACATAGCCTGAGATGGAGGCACAAGAGAGGTGGAGGAAAATAGAATTTGATGGTTCATGTCCTTGGAGCCAAGTGCAAATTTTTTCTTCAAGGAAGAGGAAGTGAGTGTCTGCATCAGCTGCTGCTGAAAAGTAAGGTAAGACACAGACTGAAATCGACCACTGTCTTGAGCAACATGGGGTTCTGACAAGAGCACTTTTGGACTGGCAGGGTTTAAAGGAGAAAGGAAAGATATTGGAGACATGTCATCCTGAGAATTTCAGAGCAAAGAGGAGTAGAAAAAACAGGGCAGTAACCGGTGAGAGAAATAGGGTGGAGAGAAAGGTCTTTCAAGATGGGGGGAAAGGAGCATGTTGGCCTGCTGAAGGGAATGATGGGAGAGGAGGAAAAAGACAGCAAAGGGGAGCTATAGGTGTTATGTATTAGGGATTTATCCATTTGTGAAAAGAGTTGCAAATATTTACATGTAGCTTGTCATTCTTCTTGCAACTTTGCTTAAGGTGTTGTTTTCGCCTTGTAGAAGTTTTTAATTTGTAGTTGAATGTATTAATCATTTCCTTTGTGGCTAAAAGAGTTTGGAGTCTTAGTTTAAAAGACCCACACGTGACTCAGGGGTTGTAAACTAAGGCTTGAGAGCCAAATCCAACCCTTCACTTGTTTTTGTAAATGGCTGGGGTTTTTTTTGGCTACCCACCTAGTGCCATTCCTGCTTTCATCTTTGCTAACAGACCTGAATTTGATTCTGACATAAGCATTTCCAGCCAAGATTCTGGATTACGGTAACTCTCTTGCCTTTGTCAGTGACTGGTTTAGGTGTGAACATGTGATCTGTTTCTGGCCAGTGAAATACTGGGATAAATCAGCTGGGAGTTTTTAGGAAAGTGTGTCTTCTCTGAAAAAAAAAAAAGAAGCATATCCTTGGCCATGATTCCTCTCTCTTCATTCTTTGAATACTGTTGCGTGCAGAGGTGGATCTTAGAGCTGTGGCAGCCATCTCGTGCTCTTGAGGAGCAATACTGCAAATACACTGAAGGGGACAGAATGCAAAGATCAAAAGGGCTGAAATCCTTGATGAAATCAGTGAACTGCCAAACTAATTTTGGGACTGCCCACCATTGCATATCTCCTTAAGTAATTAATAGTTGTCCACATGGTTTAAGCCACTGTTAGCTGGGTTTTCTGCTACTTACAGTCAAAAGCATTCCTAATTAGCAAACTCAACTTCTAATTCTTGGTTTTCTTTACCATTTTTCCTCTATTCCTTTTGGTATTTTGTTCTTTTTTTATTTTCAGGTTATTTATTTTTTGATAATGGAAACCTCAGTTTGAGCCTTATATTTATCTTTCTATGTGTAACACATTTTCCTTGATTCCTCCTAGGCCTGTTATACTAATGGCTTGTGTTACATCTGCTTTTCTGTTGTCTGAGAAGGTGGTGAGGATGAAACTGAGACAGGGTTAGGGAAGAAGGGTGGGACCAGAACTGTGGGTATCACAGTTGGGGGATTTTGTCACTGGAGACTTTCTCTGTTGTTTAGTTAAAAGTTCTTTAAAAAAAAAAAAAAAGATATATTTATTTTAGAGATAGAGCAGGTGAGAGAGGCAGAGGGAGAGAGAATCTTCAGCAGACTCCCTGCTGAGCATGGAGCCCAACCAGGGGCTTGATCTCACAACCCAGAGATCACGACCTGAGCCAGAACCAAGAGTCAGGCACTTAATCGACTGTGCCACCCACGCGCCCCTAGTTAAAAGTTCTGTACTGAGGTCCGTTCTAAATAGTTGAGGGTATATCTGATCCATCGAGAAGAGCCTTTGGGTTTCAGATTGTTCAAC